TTAAACGGGGAATAAACGGGGAAATAACCTACCCCGCCCCGCCTTAAATGGGGAACGGGGAATGAATTTTTTAACGGGGCGGGGGACGGGGAGGGCATCCCCGCCCCACCCCGTCCCGTTGCCATCCCTACACCATCTCTGTAATGCGTAAATGTAGACTTTCAATTTTTCATCTACGCGTCACATCTCAATCAACCTTTGCCCCTTTTCAAATGGTTCTACTCGTTCACAAATTGGACCACCAGTGCACCAACTACGACCCCGTACTTTTTTTCCCCGAATTAAAAGATATTTCACATGGAAAATTAATTCGAATTGTTGTGCATTAATTGCCTATATAGACTTTTCCTTGAAAAAGTCACCTAGTCATTGATCTCTATACCACAAAAAAAAAAAGGAGATAATGATTTATTTTTGGAGATAATGATTTATATTTGGTGAGTAGTTCCCTATATTTCAGGAAATAAAAAGTCAATGTTTGACTTGGTATCGGAAAAATTAATGAATAGAAAGTTTCTCAAACTAATAATAAGTCAAATAAAGGTTGATTTGAGTAGAAATTATTGACTTGTCCTTTGTGTCTCAACTTTCTTTATATAAGTCTATCGTTCAATTTGAGCTGAATTTAAATTTCCACCATGGCTGAACCATTGTGTTCCTTAGGTCTTCTTCTCCTTTTCTGCAGCCTTTTCTTGAAATCTCAGTCCATTGATTTTGTATACAATGGATTCAGTAGATCAAATCTAGTCCTTGATGGTTATGCCAAAATCAAGGATAAAGCATTAAAACTTACTGATACATCCCAGAATGCAATAGGCCATGCATTTTATCCTAAGCAAATTCCTATGTTCAAAAACAGTAGCCCTAGTGCCTCTTCATTTAGCACTCAATTTGTATTCCAAATTGTCCCTTCTGATGCTAACAGAGGGGGCTATGGCTTCGCCTTCATATTATCACCGTCGACACAACTTTCTGGGGCCGAGGGGGGACAATACCTAGGAGTTGTCAACCCATCAAATGATGGAAACTCTTCAAACCATCTTTTCATAGTCGAATTCGACACGGTTAGTGGATACAAAGAGAAATCAGACAGGTACGGGAACCATATCGGAATCAACACCAACGGAATGGAGTCGAAGATCTCGGAATCCGCATCGTATTACAAAGGGTCGACTCAGAAAAAAGAAGAGGTGTATTTGGAGGAGAAAGATCCAATTCAGGCTTGGATAGAATATGATGGAGGGGCAAAACAAGTGAATGTAACAGTTGCACCTTTATCAATTTCCAAGCCAATCAAGCCTCTAATATCTCTATCAATTGACTTATCACCAGTGATGAAGGATTATATGTATGCTGGATTTTCAGCAGCCACAGGGAAAAAGGCAAGCTCTCATTACATCCATGGATGGAGTTTCAAGCTAAATGGGATTGCTGATCCGCTTAATGTTTCTCAGTTTTCTGCTATACCAGCTGAAAAATCAACTTCCTCCCAAAATAAGTTGAAAATACTTATTTCCACTTTTTCAGTTGTGTTATTTATCTTATTGCTGGCATTGATAATTAATTTTTTATATCGAAAGGTGGTGAAATTCGAGGTTTTGGAGGATTGGGAATTGGATTGCCCTCACCGGTTCCGGTACAAGGATCTCCATGTTGCCACAAAGGGATTTAAGGAGGGAGAGATCATTGGAGTAGGAGGGTTTGGAACGGTTTACAAGGGCGTTTTACGGGCTAATGGAGATGAGGTTGCCGTGAAAAAGATAACATCGAACGACACTCTAAAAGGAAAGAGAGAATTTGCAGCCGAAATCGAAAGCTTGGGAAAGTTAAGACACAAAAACCTAGTCAATCTTCGAGGTTGGTGTAAGAACAAAATTAATCTTCTTTTAGTATATGACTATGTTCCCAATGGAAGTCTTCATTCTTTGCTCTATAGTTCCAAGAATGGCAATGTTTTGAGTTGGGAACAAAGATTCAATATCATCAAAGGTGTCGCGTCCGGGCTGCTATATTTACACGAAGAGTGGGAGAAAGTCGTAATCCATCGTGATGTGAAGTCAAGCAATGTTCTGATAGATCACGACATGAATGCTCGACTAGGAGACTTTGGACTTGCAAGATTATACGATCATGGTCAAAATTCACACACCACCAATGTTGTAGGTACAATTGGATATATTGCGCCTGAATTGACACGAACAGGGAAGGCCTCGAAAAGCACTGATGTCTTTGCGTTTGGGATTCTACTTCTTGAAGTCGCCTGCGGAAGATTGCCAGTCACATACGAACCAGACCAGAACGTCATATTAGTGGATCGGATTTTGGACTGTCTTCGAACTGGCAACATTTTTGATGCAGTCGATCCCAAACTGAATTCGACTTATGCGGTCGAAGAGATGGAATTAGTGTTGGGACTTGGTCTTTTGTGCTCTCATCGACTACCAGAACCGAGGCCCACAATGAGGCAAGTGATAAGATATCTTAACAAGGATGAAATTCTGCCAGTTTTTGATAAATTAAACTCAGTTGGATCCAAGAGAACTGATCAAATCAGATCAAGATTCATGGCTTTAAAATTAGCTGATGACATTACTGTCACAACATCATCAATTTACTCATCTTCTGTAGGGGATATGTCTTCTAGTTCATTTGAAATCACTGGCTCTGGCAGATGATAAACAGTTCATTTGTTTTCTAAATTTAGCCCTTGTTTGATTTTGATTTTTTTTCAAAATCACTTTTCCTTAAATAATCACTTTTTTTCAAACACACTTTCTTCCGTTTAAATAATTTTGCATGTCGTTCCATAACCTTTCCCCTAGTTTTTCACCACACATTTTCTAAAAAAAATCATTTTTCACAAAAATCAATTCTCAAAAAATTAAAACTAAGCAAGGGTACATTAGGGTTTAATCACATCAGAAGTAGGGTAATCAGCCAGTCTGATTCATCTTGTAAGTGTTAAATATATTTGTTTCTTTCCAAATTCCAAGCTAGTATGTGTACTGTTCTTACCATTCTATATTACCATATATATATATATATATAATGGTTTGATTATTGCTTTCATCGTTAAAAATTTTCATCTAGATTGCATGGGAAAAAGTAAGATTTATTGTTATTATTTGAGTATAAAAACATTTCTTATCAATTTTTATTTAATTAGTGACTTAATTTTTTTTAATACAACCTAGCTAGCTTCTTCTAACAGTCGTTTCCAGTAATGTTCTAAAGAGAAGTGAAAGACAATTCAACTACTGTTTTTCAGTCATCATTTAGAGGTTGTCTCCGCGTATATTTTGTAATACCTAGTTTTCTTATTTTTTCCGCAAAGTCAAAAGTCTTGTATGGTCCCTTTTGGTTTACTTTGAGTTTTCTATTAAATTAAATGCGTAACCATTAATGATAGCATATGTTATTGAATAGAGATGAAATAATCTTCATATGTTGTTGTCGAGATTGATCTGTAAAATGATGCAAATTTACGAGGGAATTGAATTGCCCAGTGAAGTCTTTACTCAGAGTAGGCATTTCAACACTCAAATCAACCAAGCAAATTAAATACGATAAGAGTGTGAACATGCGTATAATGAAAGTGCGTGTAGTGTTTTCGAATAATTTTTTAGGGTGCCTCAGATGTCCCTTCATATACGCATTTCTAGAGCAAAATATTTAGTAAGACGAACAAATTATTTATCAATCAAGGTAGATTGCCAAGTCTCATTATAAATTCAATGTTAATTATTTATTAGATCAATCTTCTATGATTTGACTTTTTCTTATATTCATTCTAATTAATTAATTGTCCCCTTTTAAATATAGAATTTTGAGAAAATTAGTATGCATCTACAATATGGACTAGCATGATGGCTTAAACATTGTATCTTTAAGATTCACGATTAGATGAACGATGGCTTGGTGTCTATATTCCATTTTAAGTGTCATAAAGTGAAAGTTTCTCTATTATATATATAAATATATATGAACAATGCTATACGTACAGGGATATTTCACAATTTTTTTTACAGGACACACGTCGTGTGATTTCATTTGACAGTTGGAAAAAATAAGAAAACAGACACATACAGAAAAACCGGTAAAAAAATTTCCTGTACAAGGGGAGTTGTGTAAATTCATATAGACCTGTTGTGTACGATAATGTCTCATTCCGTCTAAAAAGACCGTGTGCAAAAGAAAGATTATTTAATAACGTGAAACGTCCATTACAGGCAAAAATACTGTGTTCTAATGTTTAAGAACATGATTGCAAAGTGAACTCGTAGTCCAACCTAATGGTAAGCTACAATATCATATGACTCTTGTTATACCATATGATAGTCTGTTTCATGCCTAATGATAAGTGTATTTTCCATATTTATTCAGAGTCTTAAATTATAACATTTTAATGTCATTTTTATAAAATATGATCTAATTTGTGTTATGTTGTGTTTAATAGGTAAAACTCAACGATTGCATGAAAAATTGGAAGAAAGAACAAAAAAATGAAGAAAAATGGTGAGAATTTGCTAAATTGAATGAGATCCGAAGTCCAAGGCTAAAGTGAAAATAATCCAAAGTTGTATCGAACCTCAAGATAAAGATTTGAGATGTGATGGGGATCAATCGGATGAGAAATGAAGTCAAAAGGGTGAAATATAGTCAAAATACTATCACACATCAATTTATAGCCGAAAAAAATTATGTTCCGGATTTTCAATCTTCGATTTAGATCCATTTTTGGCATAGCAAACATTCAAATTGAAAAATAATATTTTAAGAAAAATTGTAGATATTTGAATTAGATTTTCAACGCACTTTGAATCACCTTAATCGAATAACGAAAAAGAAAGTTGTGACAAAAATACTAAAAATTGTTCAGATGCTGAAACCAAGCGAGGCACGTGCCTCAACCACTTTTGGGACGCTCCAAACAAGTTGATCCTCACCTTGACTATGCCTAGGCACGTACCTGATCAAAAAATGGGCCAAACAAAAAAAAAAAAAAAAATCTAATTTTCCTTATTTGATTTTGGTAACATTTCAATACAATCTTTTTGACATCTTATAAATTAAAGAACACGTCTAGAACTTAAGGGAGCCAATTTTTATCATAGTAGAGCAAGAAAATAGACATTTCTACATTCAAGGAGTGGCATTGAATTGTTTGGGATCGAGATTCAAGTGAAGAATTGAAGTTTTCACGTTCTTCTCAAGTTTCTTAGTCTTGGATGACACCTTTTCTTATTCTTTTGCGTAATTTTCATTTGGCAATGTTAGGCTAGATATTTTTACGTATTGGATGGATGCAAAACTTATTGATTTTTAGTTTTTAATTCAAGACTTATCATTTTGAGTTAATTCTCATGTTTATGATTTCATACGCATTAGTTATATTTATTTTAATGTTTGTGCACCATTAAGACATATAAGTTGTTTATTTGTAGTGTCGAACAACTCACAATAGGTAAAACAATGCATATTTAACACACAAATAATAAATATTAGAAATAATAATGTCTAATATCATTAGTACTACAACACCATCATATGTGTCATACATGCTCAATTAAATTTAGGAAATGGACGACTCCTGTAATTAATCATATCATTTAATGTACTAAGTGCAACCTAAACTCGTATTGTAGTTATCATTGATGCTAAATATGTTATTTCCGCTGTTTACTGCATGAATCATACTATACATGTAACTCAGTTGTGCATGCACGTGCAAATAGACATGTAAGGCACGTCGAGTCTGACCCCACACACCAAAAATGCAGGGCGTTCCACACTACTTCACATGTCTATATGCATGCATAGACATAATGAGTACATCGTGTGTATGTACATCGTGTGTATGTATGTGCTATTTTATATTGAAATAATCTTAAAAATTTCTCAAAACCAAATTTGAAGAACACTAAGCTATTATAGACCGGAGTAAAGGATAACATGAGTTGCTGCAATTTCATGTCAAATTTGATTTATATAGAATCCATTACTATCAAGTAGCTTAAATTCCATTCACAAAGATGTTTTTAGAGCACAATAGAATCCAAGTGTAGTGAATTCTACATATCTCAACAATTAACTACTACCATTGACAAGAAAATAGTGTCTATGTCTATTTACAGAAATTTTCACTCTTCCATTCTATTTTTCATTTCTTCCCTATCCTTTTGCAGATCTCGTCCTCCATTTCCCGTTCGCCAGTTGTATATGGACAAGATTGAGACAAGAAATCAAACGAATCACTACTTTGCACAAAAAACAGTAACGTGACAATGAATAGATTGCCACGAAAGAATCTTCAAATACGATTCATCAATATTCCTTCTCATGTCTTTTTTTGTTCATTGGTTCGTTCCTGTGCTTTATGATAAAGTTCAAGTGTATCGGCATGTTTGGGATTAAGACAGAGGGCTGCCTCACAGTCTCGGACGGTGGAAGCGTACTCACAGATTGAATCGTTGAATGCTGCTCGAAGATGGAACAGCTGTAGGTCCGGCTTGAAAGCTATAGCTTTTGTGAGCTCTTTAATTGCTTCGGCTTCCTTATGGTCATCCATGAAAACTGGAAAGTACATGTGTTATACACACATACGTTATGTCCATACAATATAACAAAACAAGAGAAAACCCACCCGCGAAATATGATTATCCAAAAATCATAAAATACTACTGCTTTCCAAACGGAGAAAAAGAGGTTCAAATTGTTTTGACTACAAGGGCTGATAGCCATTTAAAATTTTTACTCTATAAAATCGACAAATTCTATTCAATCCAATGCAATACTATGTCAGCATGCAAAAATTATGTGTATGCATTGCCCGTTTATAGATAAATGCAACTATGCAACAATTGAAGTTTTACAATTTGATCATCCCTAAGATAAATTTTAGAATACAAATGCTTGGATAAGAAGTAAATTGGGGGATCATGTTGACTCCTAAAGTCAAACGGCATGCTCTTGTCTATTTGGAAAAGCCTCAGTGAGGGGCAGTAAAACTAGGTTTGTTTGCGGGTGGTGATTCTACACGGGGATGACACAGGGACCTCATCATATGATTTTCTTCTGAACCCTATTACGAAACTGGGAGTTTTTACGGCGTAAGAACTTGTCAACGGAAAGGATTAAAAAATATATACTCCACTATGGCTATTTAGTTTGTTAAGTCGAATAATCGAGCACCTTGATCCATACTATAAGTTGTTGCAGAAATTAAAGTATTGATGGAGAAAATGAGCTCCAGGATTTTGCATATATTCAGCAAAAGTAATGATCTTTGAAAAAAATGCTTATATTGGACAAAATAAACATTATAAATTTATTTATTATAATGTTAGTGATTATTATACTCAAAACTCTAGTATGTAACGGAGTCAGTACATCTAGGTCTAATTTCTACTAAATTCTGGAGGTAAAGGATTTGATCAACCCAACACCACGTCAATTGCACTCAAGTATTCAATTAAAATTGTACTACAGAAAGTATACCATTAAGGTGAGTGAAAACTTACCGGCAGCTCTATATCTATATGGATATGTCCGTAGGGGATCCAATCGTGTTGTTATGCTAAGATCACTTTTAGCCATCTCACGATCACAATATTCCGAACGTTTTTCGTAAGCAGATGCACTGTATCTTGCCTTTTCAATCAACTTTGTCATCTCATCATATGCAGCATTGCGCTGGTTTTTGAGATGGTAGACACGTGCTAGTCCCTGATGTGCTCTCGTATGCTTAATGTTCAGGGCATTCATGTAGCAATCAGTAGCAGAATCCAGCTTATCGACATCTATATAGATACTTGCCAGATTGCTTAATGCCTGCTGTGCCACATAGGGTCAAGACTATTGACGATTAAATTAAATTAAATAAATATGTCTCATCTCTGACATTTTAAACTTTTAGACACAGTAGTTCAACCAAGAAAATGATTTCAATTTTCATTCACACAAGAATTGTACAAGATAATAATTACCTGTCCTTTCCTAAGGCCATCTGATGGGCATCTAAGAGCTTCCTCAAGAAGTTCGATAACATACAACAAAGACTCTTGATCTGTAGTTGTTTCAGATAAAATGTAAGCTTTTAGGAAATAGGCTTCAAATGATCTCTTGATTAAGATGGATTCATCAGCTTTTGATATTGCTTCCTTACGATAGCCGGTGTCATATAAAACCCATCCTTCATAGATAAGCCTCTCGTGATCTGAGGCAGCATAATTTCGTGCCATTCTCAGACTTCTCATAGCAGCCTGGTGGCAATTTATCCTATAATAACCACAAAATTACTTTTTTCACTAAATTAGGACTATAAAAACTAAAACCAAGGAAAGCATAATCAGTTTCCAAAGATGGAACGAAATTTATAACAATATGAGAAAAGAAACTATAGACTCTTCCACTAGTAAAACATCATGTATATCCTAAAGCTAAATTACTAGTTGTATTTTATAATCTTATCGTGATCTTCTATTCTTATATATATATATAGCTTTGAATAATCTAAAATGGTTGGTCGAAAGCATAATTAAAACAAAATTCTTAATAGTGGCATCCAAACTTACCGTAGGAGGATAAGAGATTGGCGAAATAACAAGAGGCTCATCCCGGTATCATTAGCCAACATTTGGTGTACAACAGCTAGAGAACCAATATCATCAACAGACGACCATCTATCGTGAAGTTGTATCCAGCAATCAGCATGACTCCATTGCTGAACATGATGAGATAAGAGTTCGACCAAATGGCAGCCCTGCAGCTTCCCATGAAACATCATGTAATGGGGATCAAGAGTTAGAAGTGCTCGAGTGTCTCTTAGAGCCCCTTCATAATCCATGAGGGAAATTGAAAACCATGCACGGAGCTCAAGGCAATCGGGAGAGACCTTGAAACCGATTATTTTGTTAATCTCGGAGATAGCACCCCCGAGTTTATCCTCCACCATAGAGACAGCCCTATACTTGTATGGATAGGAAAGAGTGGGATCCATTTCAGTAGCGGTGTCTAAATCCATCATCTTCTCTTTTCCATTAGAATACAGCGATCGTTCCTGGTACATCCACCCACAAGGCGTGTAGTCAGAAATGAGGGAGTTCATCAATTTGTACGCATTGTACTTGTGACCACGTTTAAAATTGGCTCTTGCTACACCAACTAAAGAATAAACATGACCAGCTTCCACAGCTGCTTCAAACCATTTCTGGGCGTCCTTGTATTCCTCCCTCTTTAGCATCACACACCCTAGCTGATGGAATGCCAATTGCTTTTGCCAATTTTCAAGAGCACAATCTCCCATTCTTTCCAACAGCATTACAGTTGTGTTTGATTTCATGTCTTCCTCCATTGCTATCTGGCTCAAAAACTTGTACAACAAAAATGAAGCATGCCCCACCAATGCTAGTCTTTCCCGTGCCTCTGAAGAGCATAACAACCTCGTCACATTTGGATTGTACATTGAATTTGGCAGTTCCCTCAAAAATACCTGCAGGCAAGCTGCCACTAAAATATATGCAGACTCCTCCAATCCATATTCAATTAGCAGCATAGCAGTGTCCATATCGTTGACTAGAGATGCTAAATGTGCATCACAAGCAGACTTCATTTCCTCACAACAAAACTTATTAGCCAATAACAGAAGTTCCATGACAATATTCGAATTAAATGAATCTACACTCTTCGTCCTGCTAAACAGCTCCGCGGCTCTCATCCCATTTGCTGAAATCCCATTCTGGGTGAAATATATCCTTTCTTTCCGTGATTCCATGAAGCTACCATACAACATTGCTTTAAATGGTCTGGAAATTGAGGCCATGTTATATCTATTACACTTCACCTCATCATCACCAATACAAAAATACATATCATAATCATCATAATCATAATCAACATCATCATTAAGACTGAACGAAGTCGAGCATTCCATGCTTTCATCCCCAAAATTAGCCTCTTCACTTTCCTCCAAAACACGGGGACATGAACAAGAGTCATTTGCAGACTCGGGATTATACCCTGAAATAAGTGAACTCCTCGGGCATTCCATGATCCGCCCACAACAATCCATAGCCGATATACCAATCAACTCGTCTTCCCTCCTTTCATATCTCAACCAAGCTGAAAGAACGACCTTAGAATGCACATCCACCGCGTGTTGCCTAGCCGATCTAAGACATCTCCTAAATAATTTAGGATCAGGCAACCCCATAAATATCGCACATTGCTCCAGATACAATCCCGATCTCTCAAATTGAGGGCAATTCACCATTTTTCTATAAGCCTCGGCTAAGATCTCCACAAACTCGACAAATTTAAGACACGACTCAATATGGGGCTCAATGAGATCCAACTGAGGAAGCCCATAAATCGCCAATGCGTCGACCAATTCATTCATATTCACATTACAATTCCCAGATAAACTATCGTAACGACGATGAGATTTCGACCAATTCGGATTAACCCTCAAATGATCTTGCAGATGTTGAAAGAATTTCTCCCCCACGCCACCTCCACCGCCACCGGTGGTTGTCGGATTATTAACATTGTATACTTGGGTACCCTTGCACCCATCCATCATCTTCAAACTACGCATTGTAGTAAATATATTATTCTGCATCTTGACTCACTCGAAAATCCAAAAATAATTACAACAATTTATATAAACAAAAAAAATAAAAAATGGTAAAAAATTTCACAAAATGAAATCCCAGAAAAGTGAAAATAAAAAAACTCACAAATGAAACTTGCAAACACCACCGTATGGAGAGAGAAAGAAGGAAAAAAAAAACAATGGTGTTGCAGGAGATTGTTATGGAAAAAAAATTGGGTCTTTATTTTTCCCTATTTCTTTCTGTTTTATTTGTTTTAATTACTAAATGATTCTTGACGATGACGAATGGGGTTTGCCCATGGCCTGTAAACGGCCACTCTCTTTCCCCCTTTTCCTCTCTCTCTCTCTCTCTCTCTCTCTCTCTCTCTCTCTCTCTCTATATATATATATATGTATTTATCTACACGATTGATTATACAATTGCTTCTTTCAAAGATCACATTACAATGTAATGGGCTTATGAAGATCCGCTATAAAAGGACAGCCGTTGAAGAAAAAGGTAGTGTATGAGAGTGCATTTTCCCTCCCTCAACATTCGGAATTTGTTTCATACTATTTTTAGTTATTGTAGGTGGAATTTAAGAACATGCAAAATATTTGGTCTACATCGTCATTTACATAATTTTTTTACGGATTGATGAGGTATTAAAAAGTAGGAAAGTTTTTTTCTTTTTATTTTGTTGATGAAATTTTGATTTAATTAAATCTTGACACATCTGTTGATAAACAAATTTGTTGCCGTGCATTATTTTTAAAATTGTCTGTATAAAATTGTCAAACATTTCATTTCTTTCTCGTTGATATTCGCCTTAAACTAGTTCCTCAATCCCATACTCGTGTTTCATTCTAAAGTTGATTTACAACACTCATTCATTTCCCACTTAGGTTTGATTAGTTTCACTAATAGAAGTAACTATTTCGATATGTGATGGATCTCCCTAGATTTGGAACGTCTCAACCTCCAAACTTCACATAGAATAATCTAACATCACTAAAAATCTAGATCCCAAATTAAGTTTTCAAGGCTTAGTTGAACAAAAATAGTGCTTATAATTATTTTGTCACTTATTCAATACACTTTTGTGTGTTTTTCTTGTATTTTATTTTTTTCATAGTGTCTATTTTTCTATTTTTGAGACCTTTTCTTTGGTTTTCGAAAATAATTTTCACTCTAAGTGCAGGCAACATTTTCTATGGTAGATCGTGTCCTAAATATTTGTGATGAATATATTATGATTGCTCAATGTTAGCTTCACATAACTCTGTACGTAACTTTTTTCTATGTACCAATGCTAGTGCATTGTTTTTTATTTTTTGAGACAAATAATTGGAATCAAGATTCTAGTGCATGGTTACTATCTAGGTTCCACATATTATACAAAAAACTCTACACAATATTTTCAATGACCACCACATCAACGACTATCTAAATAATTTTCAACATGAGATCAACCACTTACAAACTATCCTTTCAATTGGTCAAATGATTGTATTATATATTATGATCTTGAATCTAAATTTAAAATTAATTTAACATATTCTATCAATGTGACCAATTAAAAAATATATGACAACCATCAGGACCAATAAGAGGTTGTTTATAATCCTAGCCCAACTTTTAGCTCAAATGTTTCACGACACTATAAATAGGACTTTAGAGGTCTTGCTTACTTTTGTGTAGGTTGATCTTGCACCAAACTTCGACTATCCCCCAAACTTTTACCTTTCCCTTCTCAACATCATATGACTTAACTACACGACTCGATTGGAATTCAACTATAAAGACGTTAGATTGTTCATTGGCTTTAATCAAAATCAATAATTTTGGATAATTGCATGGTTTCCATTTGCATGGAATGTCACTAATTTGTTCCGTGAGGATTAGCTTCTCGGTCTCTAAACTCCCTTCTTCTTTAGTTCTTGTCTCATTGTTTCCATTCGGAGATCACTTTAGTCAACTAACGTATTTGATTTTCCAAATTTTTGATATATGCTTGTTGACTTTGGAAGTTCGTCTCTGTCCGTCGCGTGAATTGAGATGTACCATGCATGAACTGAGATGTAGTGTCTAACATTCTAATTAATGCTTCTTTGGATCATCTGAACTAATTTGAGCTCTCATTCTTTGCATAAAAAAATGTTTCATAGTCATGTCAAAATCATCAATTTTCGCATACGGATCATCTCGGAAAGAATTTTTTTTTTTTTAAATCGTGTATTGTGAAGCTCGATAATCCCCATAGTACTCATAAGGACAAGTAACCTTCATTAACTTTGTTCACACCTTGTAATTGAATGTAGGGGGTGTCAATTTGGCTTGTCGGCTCGGACAACTCGTGACTCGGTCCGTGAAAAGCCCGAGCCAACGTCGAGCCGCAAGGGCCTACCCATGTCACGGGCCATGTTTTGCCCATAACGAGCTGAGCCATAAAAAAAAAAAATAGCTCCCGCAAAGCTTTAAAAATAAAAATTAAAATAATCACATGGAAAAAGCTGCCTTAAAGCAGCAGCAGAGGGGCATCAGTGTGGCTGTTTCTACTGCTGCCTTAAAACATGCAGCGACACATAGTTGCTTTATGGCACCGTAGGAGATACGTAAATTTGATTGAAACGGATATATTTTTTGTTATAAATATGATGTGAAATTTTGAGTTTCACAAATTGAACAAATTTTCAATTCTTTAAAAAATGTTAGATTTGTTACGAATTTACAAAAAAAAAAAAAAGCGAGCCGGCTCGGCTGGCTAAGGCTCAAGCCAAAACTTCGGGTCGAGCCTAGATTTTTTGGCCGAGTTAAAGCTCGACTCAATTTGAGCCAAAAAAAAGTTTGAACCTTTTTTATTCGAGTCGAGCCCAAACTTTGAGTTTCAGCTCAACGTGTTGATATCCCTAGTTGGATGTTTGGTAATCTTCATAATATCCCAATGGTAAAGTCTTCCTCATCAATTCTGACAAGTACATTATATTTATTCATTTTAAAAAGGTAAAGGGCAAAGTGATTCCCCATAAGCATGTTATCTTTATAAATTTCTGGATATTTCATCTCCATTCACTGAGATGTCTTACTTCTTTCAATTCTTTGTCGATGAAAGAAAAAGAAAAATAAGCATCTCAAATCCGGAATTAACTAAAAATTAATAAAATAATTACAGTCACCGACAATGGTGTCAAAAATCGTCGTAGTATAGTGGTGAATATTTCTGCGTGACGTGCTAGTGATCTGAGCTCGATCCCTGAAAACGCGTCAAAAACTTATTGGGATAACATCTTGCAATTGTACGATATTGTAGACAAGTATTAAAGAATGAGTAAAGTACCATTCGTACGAGAACTAAATATTTAATCTAGTTTCAATTAAACCTAACTTTAATCGAATGTTAAAGTTGTATCTATGGATGATTATATTAATAAATTAAACATATAACTACTCTAAGCAATCTAGCTAGTTGGGAAGCATTATGAAGCTCAAGTAATTGGCAAACAAAAGAACCTCAAATCCCCCTACATTCATCTATTCTAATATCCACTCAATTATATGATAATACTTATTCCCCCTACATTCATCTATTCTAATATCCACTCAATTATATGATAATAGTTATTCGGATATGAAGATCAATGTTCCTAATTCATTTAATAATGTTCCTAATTCATTTAATAATTTCTCTCAAGTATAACTAAATATATACTCATATATGTCCCTCCTACATGTGTATGAAGGATGCTAACAAGCAACAGTGTACCAAATTACATGAATAATAAAAATAGATCATGCAAATCTTAGCAATATATATCTATATCCTATTGGACTTTTGACGTTGGGTAGAATAGTGATTATTCTGCAGGTTGGAACCAATAGACAATAATAGGGAAGAACGCAAGAAAATAACACCAAGAAAAAGAGAAAATCTTTATTATTCAACAACTAAACGAGCCCACAACATAGACTTGTATGTTTATGTGTGTGTACTACTAAAGTTTTTTTCACCATTGAGGCCGAAACCTAAATCGGTGTTCAAGAGGATATGTATAGTTGAAAATGAACTTGGAGAAAATGAATTTTAGAAAATAGGGGCAAAACATAGACTTGTATGTTTATGTGTGTGTGTTCATGTATGTGTATACGAATGAATGTATACGTAAAAATAATGCATTGAAAAGCGTACACATTGATTGATGAGTAATGATATGTGTACATGAGATTTTTACAAAGGGATGACAGAATTCCATTTAATAGTATTTCATTGGGTGTTGAAAAAAAAAAAAAAAAAAAAGTCATACAGCAGCACCTGTAAAACTTAAATTCTGTACAAAGAAATTAATCCTCGATTGACTATTTAGATTATTAAAGTGATGATATATTATTAAGAAAAGGAAAAACGACAGACATGCTCATTCTCAAATGATGCCAGATCCGAATTAATAGGCCGACACACATGTTTCTATACAAGGTTTTATAACAATTATTAATGGTGAAATCAAGTACTGGTGTAGGTTGACTACACAGATTTGATGTTTGTGATGAATCTTTGCAGTTTTATAGGATTAAGAAAGAGAAAAGATATACGTACAGAAAATTTCTTACAGAAATCTTACAGAAAAAATAAATTTTCAAAAGTACCCTTCATACATAATTTGCAAATAGGAGGCATTACAAGAATATAAAAACTCCAAATTAGTCCTTATAAATTTATGAGTGCAAAATTTATTCCGCTGACTCTGCGCACCCTGGTAAAATTGGTATCAGAGCCTTGTTAGATCATGAAAATTGAAATAATTAAAAATAATTGGTACTATATATTAAGAGAAAAAGATGGATTAAGTTATATGTTTATAGATCATGTTCCCAGGAGATTAAAAATATTAACATTAATGATAATTAAAAAACTACCAATAAAAATAAGGAAACAAATATTAGAAAAATTAGAATTAGGATACATAACAGATGAATATTTATATCAAAAAATAATGATAGAATTTGAAAAAGAAGAAATAGAATTTTATTG